ACTATTATACTTACCTATAACTATAAAGATTAAGTTAAATTAGTAACCAATAAAGTTACTAATATTATTAGCGCTTATTGTGACGGAGCTGGATTTCATTTGACAGGATTTCATTCGCTTGGCCAATCACGTGACGAGACTTGGCATTGGAACAACTTAAATAACTTCGCTCCTTTCAGATTCTCTTCTCTCTTTAGTTTGATTTCTTCGTACCTACGGTTTTAGTTCTAGCAATTGATTCAAAAGCTGTATACACTTTATCCTTTGTTGGCATCCGTGACACTTATAGTATTATTTATAAGGATTATTCTATAAAGGATTAATATATTACTTAATAGGTACTAGAAGCTTATATAGCTATAGTATACTAACCTAAGGTAGTATTTAATTTAAGCGTTATAGTATAATCTCTAAACCCTAAGAAAAGTAATATTAATATATTAAATAAGCGCCTTTAGTAGTTAATTAATAATCCGAAGTATAGACTTAAATATATACCTTTAGATATTAACTTGCTAAAGCTTATATTATTTATAGATACTTCTTTTATAAATTTAACTAACCTTTTCTCTTAAATAAGCTATGTTTTATACCTAGTAAATAGAAATAATACTATAGTTATTTTATACTAGATTTCTATAAAATATAGATAAATTATATAAAGTATAACTATTAAATAGCGGTTTTAATATAGTAGGGGTTACTAAGTTAATACTAGAGGCTATCTTAGGTAAGATACTTAAATTAACGATTTATATAGATTCTAAGTTAATATATAAATACTTAATAAAACTTAGTATAATAAAAGAGAAGCGTTTTATAATTAATGTAATAGTATTACGTGTCACAAATCACGTGTTAGCACGTGAAGAGTGAAGACCAGGCGGCGTCCTGACAGGTCGAGCACATTCGTAGACTTATAGCAAATAGGGATCGATTAGACTAGCTAAGCGATCCAGGGATTTTACTTGGTTATAGTCACGTGATGGACCCTGAAGGATCCCTTGGGGATCCAAAGGGGTCCTGGGATCCTCTGGGATCCGGAGAACGAAGGTTCTATATAACACTGGCACATCTGCCATTAGATAGGAGCTTCGTGCTCAACTTAGTTTACATTGCATTCAATACCTTTGCTGTCTTGACTACTTTGTACAAGTGACGAGTTTACCTTTGAGTAAACACACGACCTGATAGTTGTCTTCTTTCCCGCATACCAACAGTCGAACTCGATACCTTTAGTTAGTTAGATACCGGTTTCGTCACATTACGCTAGGCGTATAAAAAATATAAAATCTATAAGATTCTTTAGATTAAAGGAACTATAAATCCTATTAATATAATAATAAAATTAAAATCCTACTAAGTACTAGTTATGCTTATTAATATAAATAAGATTAAGATTATAGTCGAAGAGTAGGTTAAACGTAAGGATATTAGTAAAGGATAAAACAATAATAATATAGAGAATTAGTAGATTTAGATAGATTTACAAATTATAAGATATCGATAGACTTAATTAATATTAGGGGAGAAATTAATAGATTTAATTAGTTAAGGACTTTAGATAATTAGTTATTTATACTAAGTCTTTTACTTCTTTTAAAGTAGGCCTAGTATCGCTATAATATCCGAGTGAATATACTCGGTAGCACGGATCACCTAACTAGGCTGGTCCTGCCTATATTATAGTGGTACGACTTCTATACCTTTAACTCCGTGTATATTAATAATAGGAATAGTCTAATACTAAGGTTTAGCCTCTTCCTGTATTGCACCTCATATTTGACAATAAAGTCAAATCAACAATATTACATTTAAGTTTATATATAGAAGAATAAGATTATATTTAAGAAGCGTAATAGGCATTTTAATTAAATGGCCGACAGGGATTATTACGGAAGCCAAGAATAACATGGAGTAAAGTAGTAAGTAGTACCGTAAAAGAAACTGTTATAATATATTCTAGAGTCTTTTCGTAGGTTAATCGCAGGCTAAATGTCACGAATCACGTGTTTGCACGTAACGAGTGAAGACCAGGCGGCGTCCTGACAGGTCAAGCACTATTGAATACTCTTATAGCAAATGGGATCGGTTGGGCTAGCTAAGCGATCCAGGGATTTCACTTGGATAGTATCACGTGATATGGTCACATGACCATTGGAGCTTGCAGGAGCTATGCGTGGAGCTTGTGGAACGTACGTTCCATAAGATTCAGGTCTTGGGATTACAAGACCCTCGAGTATGAAGGTTCTATATAAGACTGGCACGTCTGCCATTAGATAGGAGCTTCGTGCTCAACTTAGTTATCAATCTTATCATATTAGTTTGACATCTTTGATACAAGTAACGAGTTCACTTCCAAGTGAACACCCCGATAGTCTTCTTCTTATCATAGCATACCAACCAGCGAACACCCAGCCAAGTTTAGTTAGCCAGTTTGAGTATTCGTTACACTAAAGTACACTTTATATAAGTATTTAAATAGCTCTTCTTTCCCAAGAACGACACGAAGTATACATTATGTGCGATTTAGGCTTCTTTACTCGTTACTTACTTTTAATGTATGCATCCCTTGATACTATCTCTTAAATATTACGAAGACGGTGCCTCCGATTATTGGCAGTATATAACTCCCTATTATCGTTAACACCCTAAAAGATTTCATCTTTGCCATTACATAAATATGACATCATCATTATTATTATTATTATTATTATTATTATTATTATTATTATTATTATTATTATTATTATTATTATTATTATTATTATTATTATTATTATTATTATT